CATCTTCGACGCAGGTTCAGTCAACGGGACCCGTTATTGTAATGAGATTCTTCTTCCATATGTGCGTCTTTTTAGAGATGCTATGGGTCTGCAGTTCCTTTTCATGGATGACAATGCACCATGTCATCACACAGTAGCTGCCGAACAGCTCTTAGAGAGTGAGGATATTGAACGTATGGATTGGCCGGCACGATCTCCGGATCTCAATCCCATCGAGCATGTATGGGATTTTCTAGGCAGATGCTTGGCAGCTTGTACCTTACCACCAGTAACGATTCCGGAGCTTCAATTGACGCTGCAAGACGAATGGGCAGCAATGCCTCAACAACTCATTGACATCCTCATTCTCAGCATGGGCAGACGCTGTGAAACCTGCCTAGCAGTCAGGGAAGATCATATTCCCTATTAAAGACCGGATGTTTCTTGCTGGACACCCATCACAGGGATGTTTCGGCCTTCAGTCGCATTGCGCTCCATGCTACTTTTTCAATAAAGCTTCTTTTTAATCCCTCTGATTTCTCTTTTAGTAAGTGTTGCTTACATTACTCATGTCCTTACGTATTGGGGATCTTACGGTATTAAATGTGTTGATTTGGAAAGCTTTTGTACAAAGTTGTATTGAAAAACCGTCTCGTCCTTAATTTTTGCACACCAGTGTATATTAAATAAAATTAGCAACTTTATTTTTAAGAAAATTGAGCTAAGTAAATATAGTACAAATTCTTTAGTATTTCAAGCGATTGTAACTGCATGCACGTGATCTTCGAGCATGAGGGATTGTGAGCTCTTGGACGAAATCCCTTTTTCCCTCTTTCATTCCGAAACCAAGTTATGAGCAAAAGTGAGGTTTGGGGTCGGGATGCTTGTGCTTCGCCATAGCTGCATGCACTGCCAGCTGACATGTTATCTTTGTCATATACTTCGTAAATTCCAAATATTGTGGGTAGCTTTTATTCTGATGAATAGTTTTGTTGAAATAAAATTGTTTTGATACTTTTCCGTTTCGCCGACGCAAATCTCGCCAAGCAGACTTTATTAACGACAGTATACGGATAACAAATGTTAGTTCTAAGAATTTTTTATTTTGAAGGCATAAACATTTTAATATGGTTTAAAATTTTGTAAAATGCCAATAAATAAAGACAATAAATTTGTAAAAAGACATTTATTTAAAAATTTACTATGCTTTAAGGATTCAACATCCTGATTTGCCAGTTTGTATCACATGACCCCAAGTGATCTTGTCTCATGTAATCTACGCTACAAAAATCTAATTCTCTCAGTAATTATCTACATTAATTTCAAGTTAAATCTTATGGAATACAAGTTTGAATAATGCAAGAATCATTTCAGTTCGTACGAATAGCTTTCTTAGAAATTATTTAAAACCTCGGTGCTTTACTTCGCTAGTGCATTCTCATTAGATTTGATGAATTTAACTCTTGATTTTGCTTTCTATATTTTCGCCTTCGAGTGAGTGGTATGATTGCATCCTAATTAATTACCGTGAATGGTCTTAGGAAATTGTATGCCAGTATTGAAAGAAACAATCAATCGGATAAGAAATGGCTGCGACTTGTTTTGAAAATGAAGGGTAAACGGTTGCCAGCAAAGGTATTCCATTTGGCATTAGTTGTACCATTATTGGCGACTTTATCGTTTGCACCGGCAAAACGGAAAAGTACAATTGTTTTTATATACCGTAATTTCCAGAACAAAGGCCGCATCAGCGTAAACGCCACACTCGAGAAAAATGGCGGGAAAAAAATTTAAATTACACAGAAACACCGCAATAAATTAAATTGCACGTGACATCATCGTGGGCCGTATAGATGCAAAATCTCAACCTAAGTCTTCATATATGACATACCAGTTAAGAAAAATGCATGAAATGAAACCATAACTCAAAAATAAATTAAAGGTAAGAAATGTGGAAAATATATTTACCTTCACATATATAACTTATAATTACCCACTAAAGAAGTTCATATTTGTAATACTCAGACTATATTATAAAAAATGCTGCAACAACGAAATATTAAATTTGGATGACAAAAGGAAATTTTAAATTTTACTTTCAAAAGGAGTTACAGCAAATTATACATCATATGAAGCTATCAAAACTGTTCTTCACTGATTGAATTAAAAGATTTAGTAAATCCTGATCTAAGTCCAAGTCTTCCAGATCATTCATCCTCTTGGTTTACAGTGTCTTTATCTAGGGATATAATTTCAGCTTCTTTGAACCCTGCTATTATTAACGATGTTTTTTTACTGATTTCCATGCACTTCCTACCCACTTTGCAACTTTTTTATAAGATGATCTACGCATTTTACCGCTTTTGGTATACGTAATGCAATCCTTCACTCATCCAACACTCCCACCGCTTTCGAATTTCAGCTTTAAAGGATTTATTACCTGACAAATCTAATGGTTGTAAGTTTTTTGTCAAACCGCCAGGAATTATTGCTTACAGTCATAGACAATTTTTGACATTCTGGTTTTTACTGACTCAAGTAAATGAGCACGCATGGAATCCATTATCAAATACCCTTTTGGTTGGAAAAAAGATCCCTATGTGACACTGCCACTCATGCACTTTTTGTAGCCACTCATGCATGATTGTTTCGCACATCCAGCCGTTCTCGTTTGCACAAATAATTGCGTCATTAGGAAAATCTCCCTTCGGAATAGTCTTTCGTTTAAAAATGATCAATTGCATTCGCTTGTTACCGTTTGCGGCACAAGCTAATACACATGTAAATGACGTTCTTTCATGCCCCGTAGTAAGCACAGATACAGTTTTTGCACCAGTTTTATCAACAGTTCTGTTTGCAGGAGAGTCAAAAGCTAACGGCGTTTCATCCATATTTATTATCTGTGACCGAAGAAGTTTTTTTTTTGTCAATAATAGTCACATATGCCTTTTTATCCTGCCAGTCCATTGGTAATTGTTGCCCAACTGTTGTTCTAGTACGCACAGAAATATATTTTTTCTTTTCATAAATCTGCTATACCTCCTTTGAAATCATTTATGTTCATTCGTTTTGCTATAAATTTTGCCTTTAAGCGAATTTTTACAGTCAAAATTGCCATTCTCTTTCCTCGTTGCTCCTTTATCCAGTTTGCAAGGTCGTCCTCTAGATTCGGCCACCTTACAGTACCACTTCTTTTGGCTCGTTTCTTTTGTGGCATATTTTTAAGAAGTTCTTTTTCAGTTCTCCAACGCCGAATACATCTCTCGTCCACTTCAAACTCTCGAGCTGCTGCTCGATTTCCAATTTGTTCAGCACGTAAAATTACATTAACATTAAAACCAGCAGTATAGCATCTGTGCCGTTTAGGTGCCATTTTCAAAAATTTTCCGCTCCTTTCTTATTTAAAAACTATCCAACAAGTACTTATACCCAAACTGATGTGATCTGTATCTGGCAGAATGCCAAGAAAAATCGATTCATGCTGAAAGGGAAATACGTCAGAGTTCGTTATTGCGAGGCAGGTGGAGTCGTGTCCGCCTTTGAAAAAAATTGCAGAAAAGGCAGGGGTGGGGAGAGGATGGGTCCTGGAAGATTCATCAAATGGCAGAGGAGAGAGACTATTCAAACTGATGAGAATGTTGATTTGAAAGGGGAAAGAATGTTATTGTTCTGAGATCTCGTTTAGGGTGAATAAGGCATGTAGGTCCGTTCAAGCGAAAGAATGTAAACAAAATAACGTTCGCAAAAAGCAAATGAGTGGTTTTTTGTGTGGAACAGCACCAGTCTGTGCACAATGACAAACTATCCATCCAAACTATGTACAATGACCATCATAGGAAATATTTTATTTTTAGTGCACCTAAACGCCACACCCGCTGAAAATTTAAGTTTTAAACACTTAAACACTGCATCGTTTCTTCCGGAAATTACGGTAATAAAAGTCATAGCTTATAGGAAGCAACAATCGAGTTGACACCAAATTCATACAGTATCAACAAAAATATCCCTGTGTTGGGTGACTTTAGCCATAAGTTTATACATGAGATTTAACCCTCTGAGTGTCGTGGTTTTTCACTGTTTCAAGAATACCTGTATTTAAAGAATTTATTAGCTAAGTTTATATAATTACTTATTTTAGTCCATATTTTCATAAGCTTAAATTCATTAAGATGACATTTAAATTAGCCACTCAGAGGGTTAAATCTGTTTTTGCCTTCAATTCTATTCTGCTATATTTATATAGCCACCCAAGTGATATAATGGTTAGCGACGCTGACTGCCATACCAAAGGGCCCGGGTTCAAATTGCAGAGAAGGCATGAATGTTTGTATAGTGTCCGTGCTACACGGGGGCACTCTAAATATGCGAAGCCGAAAGTCCTCTTGAGAGGTTGATAGTGGAAGGAGGTGGGAGACCCTCTTACCCATTTTCCCCGGGGTGCTCTCCATCAAAATTGGAGGTGGAACTAAGCAAAGTCGCACTGTCACCTGTAAGGTGCTCAAGGCTGTTGCGAACGACAGGTGTAATCCAGAGCTCCTAGCCACGAGGAATCTCGTGAGCTTGGGCTGACTATAGGTCAGACAAGAGAGCATCAGTCAACAACTCTTTATTACTGCTGGAAATCCTGGACAGTCTAATATGCAGTTCAGAAAAATCACGGGATAGGTTGCAGTTCTGTCGGGAGGACCACATACCTTATTAATTTTTTCTGTGTATCCCTAAAAAATTGTGCACCATCTTTTCTTTATCCTACTTTGTATTACATTTTCCACGTTTTTATTTATTTACTTTACCAAAAATAGGCAAATCTGCATTTTGAAGGTATGTCTGCTGTTGTGAGAAAGTAAGTCTTCAGCAAGCTCCATGTTCTTAGCTGCAGAATCGTTCAAATTACATGGGTTTTTCATGATTGTTGCTTTAATTTTCCCCACCAGCATATAAATTAACTGTAAAAACAGCTTTGAATCAAAATGCTGAAATACTGCAAAATTTATGATAAATATTAACTCTTATACTTTCAGGTTCTGAGATTGCGATATATTTACAAAGATATTTACATAAGTTTATTTTGCACCATATGAAGGAGACACGGGATGCCGAGCTGTCTTTACAATTTGGCTTCCTAGAATGTGATTCTTTTATTAAAGAACCTCAAGGCATTCAGGTCTTAAACTCAATTCTGGATGAGCTTACTAGCCGTAAGTCTTTATTGTGTGAACTTATACTTTACATTTATATATTAATATATAGAGAGCTGAGGCTTACTTTTAAAATAGTAAATAATTTTATACCAAAGTTAGTTCTTGCATTTTTGTATTCTCCACATTTAGAAAATGTAAATATGTCTGGTATTTTATTTTAAATTATTTAGTATATATTCATATAATATACCTCTATACAATTTTATTATTAGGTTATTTAATTGATCTCCGTTTAAAATTTTTAATTTTCTATGCATCACATGTGATAGTTTGTAACAGGAGTGGACAAACTTCATGACAATGCTAGCTGCATTTTAGAGTTCAGCAAAGTTTAAGAGCTAGATTTTCAAATAGTTCCAACTCTGTATTGCGTTTCTAAAAGTGGTAGTACATTGTTTATATACAATAAAAAAATTGAAGTAAATTAATAAGAATGTAACATTTTTATGTGACTGTTGTGCTTGCTTATAAATAGATAATGTTTTTCTTGAATTGTGTTCAGAAAAGTATATTTCTATTGTATAAAACTTGAAAATCTTGAATTATAACAAAAAGAAATGCTGATGAGTGATGTTAAACATACTTTAGTAACAAGAATCAGCATAACTATGTAAATTTTCAGGATTATAGTTTCAAAGTTTATCACACCTTTTTTAGCTATAGGAAGCTTCTTTGAAATTATAGCTCTACAAATTTATGCAATTTCCTAGGAGAATCTTGCTGTTGGAGTATGTTTAACATTGAAACTGTTGTATGATAAAATTAGCATTCTTTTTTCTGATAGAAAATCAGGCCATTTTCTTTTCCTTTTTTTATTGTAAAATTATCAGTTAACTTTAGCAAAATGTACTGAAAGTCAAAGAAAAACCTAGTGGTCTTTATAATACAGTACAAAGTCCGTAATCCGGACTCGTCGGGACTTCAGTGATTCCGGGTTAGGTTTTTTTTTCCGGATTATAGATCATCAATTTAAATCTGGTAAGATGGCATGCAGAAATTATACAATTAAAAATATGAAACCGTAATATATGAAATTAAGGAGCAATTATGATCTAAAGGATATCAAATTTTACAAAAAAAAGCTTAATATTTATTTTGTTTACTTTATTAAACATTTCTTTCAACGCACGCATGCGTAAAGCATACATTACCCGCATGCATAATGTGTGTTCATTCTTTATGCGCATGCGTAAAGTTTGTGGCTTTGAGGTCCGGATCATAGATCATTCCGGATAATGGACGTCTGGGTTATGGACTTTGTACTTTAATACAATAATTTTAAAAGTAGATAATTGTTTTTTTTAATCAACCTTTGTGTACTCTGTCTACAGAAAAATGTCTGTTCAAGAAAGAAAAATGTATTAAGATAAACTATTGATTTACCATAGTTTTGCATAAAAATTGTTTAGTTTTCCAACACAAGTAACTGTAGCAGTAACTTAACCCCTTCGCGCCGACTGTCACGTATACGTGCCAGCAACGAACACACTTATCTACCGGCTGACACGCAGGCGTGCCAGAGCATTGTTTGATTACTACCGACTGTCACGTATTTGTGCCAGTACCTTGGAACGTTTTTAAAACTATAATTTCTACCACAAGATGGCACTGTATGTCCATATGGTTTCAGATACATGTACATTAGACCTTCTACTCGAAATGAGAGAAGCATGACTCACATGTGTTTTTGATTATATAAACAAACGGGTAACTAAATATTTCCGAATGGCGTGATTTATGACGTCTCTTTAAATCACACTTTATTCGCACGTGGTAGTTGTTTATTGTGAGTAGAAGTTTTATATGTGCTAAAGCGTTGAGTATTTCGGTTTACAGTTCAGTTTTTAGAAAATAATTAGATCTTGTTAGACGTGAATTCTTTCTGTTTTTTCTGTTTTTACCGTTTCAATGTCGAAGCGTCGAAAATGTTTAACAGAGCATGAAATAGCAGAAATGATGCAAAATATTTCGGATATTGATTCTGAAATTCTGATATTCTGATATTGATTCTGAAAGATTAACTGAAAGACATTTTCCAAAACTTTGTTCAGAAGAGACTGATAAGAAAATGAGACGACAATGCTTCGTTTGTTCACATTCCCGGAAAAATCCTCCAAAACAGCAAATGAGTTATTACGAGTTCAAGGAATGTAACGTAGGACTGTTTTAAAATTTTTCATACGAAAAGAGAATTTTAAGTAATATATTTAGTTTTCAGATGTATAATGTTAAAAGTCATAAAATGGTGATTAATTAAAATAAAATGTGTAAAATATGCATTTAAACAAGAAGTAAGGTAATTAAAGTATATATATATAAATATCTATAAAGCATAAGCCGTTTAAATACTCTATAGAGCATTATTAAATGATGCGTTGATACTTCAGAAATTTCATGGATTTAGGCTTAGTAGCAAAAAAGCCCCCGGCCCTGGAGAGACGCTTGTGGAAGACACTGCCGGCCTCCGCGATAAGCGCGCGTTTTCGCTACCTGGCTCGAAGGGGTTAAGAAGTTTAAACCAAATTGTAGGGAATGAAGACTAATGAACATTGCAGGGATGTAAACTTAGTCACTCATAAGGAGTGTCTAAGCCAATGTTGGCAGACTGTCAGAAACAATGCATTTATATATTGCTTTGATATTGCAGTCATATTGCTGTGATAAAAAATATAGCAAAGAAAAGAAATCATATTATTTATTACATTTCAAGACATTTGGAGGTTAAAATGCAACAGTACCCATCCTCAGTGAGTAATTCTCAATACAAGAACATTTTCTTACTTTGAGAAGCATTCTGTGCATTGATATTCCAACATTAACATATTCCAAGGCTTTGTCTCGAAGGTTTTAGTTTGTTTTTAACTGGCTTGTGTCTATATTTCTGCTGGTATCCTTGAGCAGTCAGTCTCGCTTCAGAATGGGAAATATTTTCCCTCATCACACCTGTTGTTCTGTAGGCTTGCTTGTCTGACATAGTCATAGTCAGCCTAAGCCCATGAAATTCAGTGTGGCAAGGAATGCTAGATTACACCTGTCATTGGCAATAGCCTTGAACACCTAACAGGAGACAGTGCAATTTGGCTCAGTTTTGCCCCCAATTTTGATGGAGATCACCCCCCGGGTCTACCACTCCTCTCCCCTCCCACCAAACCACATGAAATGACTTTTTGCTCATCGCACGTTTAGAGTGTCGCCATGCCACACTAACAGTATACAAAAATACCAGCCTTCTCTAGTATTCGAACCCAGACCCTTCAGCATGGCAGTCTGGCGCTGATTAAAGTATTGGTTGAGCAGCTCACCACTTCTTTTTGTCTTATACATCCACTTGCAGCCTATAATGGTTTTATTTTTGAGAGTATTTGCCAATATTCATTTGCCATTTATCTTTAAAGCATTAATCTCCTCCTGCATGGCTTATTTCCATTTTCCCAGCAGCCAAAAAATGGCTTCATCAAATATTAGATCTGCTGCTAGTTCAAACTATGCTGTAAATGAAGTGATGATGTGTCTGCCAGATTTACACCTTTGGTTTGTTTAGAAGATAGTTTTACATTTTGAGAACATCTCCCTTTTCTGATATATATTTAAAACTAGTTATGACTTCATCCTTTTGCTTATCCTTAGGATAGGGATCTTTTGGTGTAAGAATCACATCTCTGCTGTAATGCTGGTAGTGATGTTCAGCAAATGATAACTTTGGTTCCTTCTTATCCAACCGTAGTTTATTTAACAGAAGTGTCATCGAGTTTTTTCCTCTTCTGTAATATATGCACATATGCTGGAATATCAAATGCTGATATGAATGAAATACATGCTAATGTATGTGCCATGTCTCATAAAGGAGTGACTAAGTTCTTTTGCTGTTACTATATTTTTTTTAGCGAGTTAGTTGTCATAACTTCTTCACCACAATACTTATTTGCAAAATTAGCACCTTTTAGCATCACCTAACTGTACTTGTTAATGAATGATTCTTTCTTTCAGCAATTCCAGTTTGTTGAGGAGAATAAAGAACAGTTTTCTCATGTATTATACCATTTTCCTATAATAATGTTTTAAAGTCTTGCTTATCTATTTCTCTCCTTGACCTGACCTTAGTCATTTTGGTGCTTTTCAAAATAATGTGTTAATGTGTTTGATAAAATATGTGATACATTCTTTAGTTTCTTCTTTACATTTAAAAAGCTAAACCACGGTATAATCATCAATTACTCTCAACATACTATAACTACTCTTAACATACTATAATCATCAATTACTCTTAATATATAACTAGCACCACCTCAAGTTAATTTTGTATTGACCTTCAAAGATCTTTTAAATGCTGAAGTGGCAAATTTGAAACAAATTGAAAATTCATTTTTTGAAAAGATTCGTTTTTTTATTGATAAATTTCCATTTTTGTTAACAATTAAAGAAAATGAATGCCATAATGATGCTTTAGATGAACTACAGAACCAATTTTCTGCTGCACAGTTTGAAGACTTTGCCAGTTCTGGAGAAGATAGACTTGATGTCCTTAAAAAGAATAAAAAGAGCTGATGGAATACCAAAATATGATAGACTAGCAAGAGCAATGTGCTATTCTCGTAATTCCACCAGTAATGCTGAGTGCGAGAGAGTCTTCAGTGTTGAGAAGAAAAACAAAACTATGTTTCGTTCTTCAATTTCACCAAAAACTAGAAAGCAATTTAATTGCTAAATGTTTGAGGAAACTAATTTTTATGACAGGAAATTTTCCAAAGAATTTTTGGCTAAAGCCAAAAAATGCACCCTAAATTCATTGCAATAATTTTTTTGTGTAACATTAAGTTCATGTTTTATGTTTCCTAATAAATTTCTTAGTTACTACTTAATTGAGATTTACTAATGTAAGTACAATTTTCCTTTTTCTATTTGTATAAGTTGTTATTTTTTAATATCAAAGCATGATATTAATTCTTTGTGTTCTTCTGAATTTTGGAGAAATCTTCTGAATTTTTATATTTAGAGGT